GGAGATCTCGTGGACTATCATCGCCCGACCACCACGAAAGACGACTGGGGTGGATGGAGTGGTCCATACCCGGTCATCCGCAACGAACCTGACCGGGGTCAAGTCATCGTGAAGGTCGGCAGTCGCGAAGTGCGAGTACAGTATCCTGACACACGACATACGCTGTACATCGAAGCACTGATGGTCCGCGAGATAGGATCGGACAATACGGCCCTTCGGACAGTACTGGCCTTTATTGCCGGTCTGTCAGCGGGGAAACCCGCCATGACTTTTGGATACTTACCAGCGAAACAGGGCCGGCTGCAGATGACTGCTGCGAGCCGGCTTTCGCCTAAAGTGCACTTGGCTCTTCAGTATCTTATTCGCAACTATTTTCGTATTGAAAACGTTGTTGCCGTACGACTTGTAAGAGCCTGACTAAGTTGCCTGCTGCACCCTACGCAGACAGCTGTACACTAGTGCATTATGATAATGATGTGACCCCTGGCTTTCATTATTATGAAGCTGATGGCACCGCCTTGAACATCTACGACATCACAGGATCTACACACTCACGCATCATCCAGTGTCTCAAATCCAAGAAGCCGCCTGCTGGATTCGACCGAGACCTCACTAAATTTGAGGAACTCGCTGATGGTCCACCACCAAGCGAGTCACCTCCAGCAGCTGCTCCTGAGCAGCCTCCTGCGGAGAATGATGGTCGGCTCCCGACCATCATAGAGGAAACAGAAGAAGATCTGGATGCTTTTGTCTTAAAGTCGTGGCATGCTGAACTGATGGATGACAGAACACTCTTTGAAGCTGACACAGAAGAGGTCATGCATACAGTTCCGACATACATGACAGACACACAGTGTGTGTTAGTCTCTACGACCTGTGAAGATGCGCAAGGCCACTTGCCGGAGCGGGGTCACCCGCCAGGATACGACATGGACACTTCTTACTACGTTCCTTTGTGCTCCACGAATCCGGACAACAAATATGATCTGGATTCCGACGAGCACGGGAAGTACATCGAGCTCTGCTTCACAGCAGACATGTCCAAAGTCGTCCTGTCCGAGCAGCAACACCGATTGCTGGATGACAGCAGCGTCACAACTATGCGAGTACATGTTAGTGCTGCCTCCAAACGTGCCGTGGTCGTCAAGGAAGACGATCTACTTACGAAGGCCGACATTCAAGCGAATCCGGTCAAAGTTTCCAAAGCCCTCTACACAGAATTGAAGACTTGGCTTGACAACAAATGCTTCCAGATGACTGACTTGAACAAAGCGTCGAACATCATGACTTCACGCTATGTATACAAATGGAAGTTTGTCAAGAACGAGAAGGGCGAAATGGAGCGGACGATCAGGTTACGCTTGGCACTCCGTGGCTTCATGGACATTGAAGCCTTCGATGTCGAAACCTTCTCTGGCACAGCAAGGAGGTCAAACCAGAGACTGCTCGCAAGTTCTGCTGCATGCAGCAAAGCTTGGATCATCGCTCCCCTGGACATCAACATGGCTTCCTTAAAAGGACTGACCTATAGTGAGCTCGCCGCGGCAACGGGCGAGAAAGAGCGTGTGGCGTGCTTCACACTACCTCCTGGGTCAGCAGCTGCCCTTCGTACACTGCCAGGCTTTGAGTCACATGACGAATCAAAGCACTGTCTTCGGTGTCTGAAGCCGGGGACTGGCGCGAAGGATGCCCCCAGGGCATTCTCGTTGAAGCTCAGGTCCATCACTAGGAGCTTTGGACTACAGCCTACTTCATACGACGAAGAGTTCGAGATGAGCCCAAACCTCTTGACAGCCAAACACGTTGATGACATTAATATGACTGGGAAGGAAGATGCTATTGACAAGTATGGCAAGTGTGTTGAAGATACGTTTGGAAAGTGCAAACTGAACAAGCACACATACACAAACTGCGCCGTTCGGTACAACAAGACCGATGATGGGAGCGTCACTCTCGATCAGGACGAATACATCAAACAGCTTCGTCCTATCACACATCCAGAACTCACAGGCGCTGATCCTGAGAGCAAAGCGACAAAGACGATTTCTGATATGTTCGTCAGTCTTCGCGGCGCTCTAGCCTATGCGTTGATTACGCAGGTATGGCTGATGGTCTATGTTGTCTCACTACAACGTATCCAGGAACCGACAAACATCCAGGTACGACGACTAAACGCGGTTACCAGGAAATTGCAGGCAGGTCCGAAGAAGATCGTGTATCAAGCTATGACTCCAACAGGAGAAGTCGACCTGCATAGCGATTCTGGCTATCGTCGTCTCAACGGAGATGAAGACGACGAAGTCAAAGGCTATGGTATCCGCGGGGCTAACCTGCTGAGGCGTGGCCACACGCAAGCGGGGAAACCCGTCGTGCACCTGGTGGACGCATACTGCAAGTCTCATCGACTGCAGGTGCGTTCGAGCTACTCTGCGGAAACACTGGCAGCAGCCCACAACTTGGAAGACTGCTACCCGACCATTGTAACGCTCCACGAGCTACACTCGGGACCATTGACCCCCACACAGTTAAAGAACATATTGGAAATGGGTGGTCTATGTATCAAAGTCACTCTGACTATTGATGCCGAGTCCGTCTTCAAGTCTTTGTCTAGCAAAGATCTGAAGAAGCCCACAGAATGTACTCTGCTTGGGCACATCAGCTGGATCCGCCAGATGATGGAGCGCGGAATCGTTGAAAGCGTTCAATGGTGTGACACGCGGGATATGACTGCCGATGGTCATACCAAAGGTAGCATTGACCGCGCGTTGCTCCTACAAGTAATGGCCGGCCAGCAATCCTTCAAGCACGAGCTGAAGAAACATACACCGTATAGGGCGGGCAGGTCGTCTCAAGACGGCCCTGCCTCCCGAGCTAGCGGGGAAACCCGCATGCAGGTGCGCTTTAGTAGCGAGGAAACTCGCCGGTAGCGAGGCTACTCGCGCGCCCTTACCTTGTAGGCAGCCGCTGTTGCCTAGTACTGGTTTTTCCGCGTAATGTAGTAATGCGGTGCTCGCTCGTCTCCTCCCCCTCCGACTTTAAACGGAGAAGGTTAAAGGCGAGATGCATATCGAGCATGCACCGCTGCCGTGCCTGGCTCAAGCCGGGCCCGGCCTAATATGTGATTGTGCCTCACCGAGGCGCACGATTCGTATCTGAGATCGGAAAATACCTTTTCCACTGACGATGCCCATCCTATCCTTTACTCCAGATCCCATGCTTCGTCTTGCTCTCTTGCTCATGCGATATGAGCCAAAGCCTGGGATATGGGAACGCCTAAGGCGTAATATATATCTAAGCTTACCAGTGCGATTTCGACTGGGTTCCCTAATTAGCCTTGCCCCTCCAGAGCCTCTAAAATCGCCTCCTGAACCCCTCTTGGGGCGCTCTGGGAGCGCTCTTGGGCGCTCTTGGGGCCGTCTTGGGGCTCTCTTGGGCCCCTCTTGGGGCCCTCTTGGGCCATCTTGGAGACATCTTGAGGCCTCGAATGGCCATCGAAAGCGAAACGGCGAGAAGGTAAAAATCATTGGTTTTCCTCAGGTTTTTGAAGAATGTTGGCCTCTTGGAGGCCTCCTTGGGAGGCTCTTTGGCCTTTTGGAGTCGTCTTGGAACTGTCTTGGGGCCTCTTGGAGCATCTTCAGAGCCATCTTGACGCATCTTGGCCCATCTTGAGCCATCTTGGAGCTCATCTTGGGCTCTCCGAGGCGCTCTTGGAGCCATCCTGGGCCATCTTGGACGCCCCAACGCGTCGCGGAACGCCCCGTCCAGGTCCAGGGGAGGGGGTAGGGGGAGGGGTAAACCCCTCCCCGAAGGGGAAGAAGGAGGTTGGAAGAGAAAACGCTCTAAACCACCTACGCCCAGAGGGCTGGTGGGATTCCCATTGCTGTTCCTCGCTCGTCATCCACATCACTACTCACTCTCGTCGCTACTGCCTATTTCTCCATCCTTCCTCATCTTCATCCCTTCTCCTTATCTCCCTCGGCCTGAGGTCTTCACCCGTCCACCCACCCAACCCTCCTCATTGATCCCCCTCTTCCTCCTCACTGATCCTCCTGCTCCTCTTTGCGGCTCCTCCTCCTGGCTGCTCCTCCTTCTCTTCCTCCTCCTCCGCTCTGTAATCCTCGCCCTTTCACTGTTCCTCTTTCCTCGTGCTCCTCCTCTTCTTCCTCCTCAGTAAGTCTCCCTGCTCACTGTTGCAGCTTCTTCTCCTCGTTCCCTTTATTTTCCTCCCCTTCCCCACTCACTCCTCCTCTTCCTCCGCCTCCTTCTCCTCACTCCGACCCCGCCTCGTCGCCCACTCGCTCACTCAGTCCTCTTTTGTTCACTCCTCAGTATTACTCCCGCGTAATTTTTTTCTCCGTACTCCTTCTCGGGTCACCCTCGCTGCGCCTCTGTAGTCCTCTTTATTTTTACCCCTCCTCTCTCCATCTTGCCCCTCGTCCTCGTCGTTGTCGTCGTCGTCGCTGCTGCTCCTCATCCTCCTAGCCTCCTCACTCTTCACTGTCCGTTCTCCACCTCACTGCTGCTGCTGCTGCTGCTCATCATCGCTCCTCCCGATTTCTCCTACTTCCCCCGTCCTGACTCCCTCTCGTTCCCTTTCTCTTGGCACCCCAAAAACGTTTTCATCAGAGGCCTTAGCGTGGCTCGGAGCCACTCTGGAATGGAGCTACCCCTCTGGGGGCTCTGGTGGCACTGACGATGCGCCAGCGAGCTCCCCCCCCCCGTGAGGGGACGGCGCCCAAGCAGGATGCAGGACCATCGTGGGGAGGAGGAGGAGGACGAGGAGGAGGAGGAGGAGGAGGAGGAGGAGGAGCGAGGAGGAGGAGGAGGAGGAGAGGAGGAGGAGGAGGAGGAGGAGGAGGAGGAGGGGGATCGAGGCCTGGGGGGAGTTTCTTTGTTTTTCTCTCTGGGCTCCTGGAGGCCTCCGGGGGACCTTCGCGAGGAGGGGCGTGGCCAGCAATCTCACACGCCGCGCCACCCCCGGGCAAGTCGGGGGCCGGCAGATCGGCCCTCGCGGGCGCCACCCTCGCCGCCAGCGCGGTGGCTCCACGCGGCGATGCGGGCGCCCGGGTGCACATCGCCGTGGACGCCTCTGGCGATATTGCTCCACCAGCCGCCGCAGGCAGAAGGCCGCTGATGAGGAGGGCCGGCCATGGCCGCGACAACACCACCGCCCCCGCCGGCGCCGACGTCCAGCCGCACGATGCGTTGTCCGGCCCCAGCCGCGCGCGCGCGGGAGGGCCCCTGGAAGCGGGCAGCGTCGCCGCCGGCAGCCTGGCGGCCGACGTGGCGCAGGCGAGCGGCTGTGGTTATGATCAGATGTCCACGAATGCGTCGGCGCTGGCATCGACGTTTTTTCATGCCTGCACAATCCACCAATCCAGCTGGACATCCTGCTGCTGGGGTGGCAATGGGCATGGAGAGACGAAGGTCCCGGAGGACCTGGGGCCCGTGCAGGCGATCGCCGCAGGTGGCTTCCACACCTGCGCGATCAGGCGGTCCGACCGCACCGTCCAGTGCTGGGGTTCCAGTGACAATGGACGGACGAGGGTCCCCGCGGACCTGGGGCGCGCGGAGGCGGTCTCCGCAGGTGAGCACCACACGTGCGCGATCAGGCAGTCCGACCGCACCGTCCAGTGCTGGGGTGTCGATTGGCATGGGCGGACGAGGGTCCCCGGGGACCTGGGGCGCGCGGAGGCGGTCTCCGCAGGTCGCGCCCACACCTGCTCGATCAGGCAGTCCGACCGCACCGTCCGGTGCTGGGGTTACAGTGGCGATGGACGGACGAGGGTCCCCGGGGACCTGGGGCGCGCGGAGGCGGTCGCCGCAGGTGGTCTCCACACCTGCGCGATCAGGCAGTCCGACCGCACCGTCCGGTGCTGGGGTCACAGCGCGCAGGGAGTGACGAGGGTCCCCGGGGACCTGGGGCCGACGGCGGCGGTCGCCGCAGGTGGTTACCACGCCTGCGCGATCAGGCAGTCCGACCGCACCGTCCGGTGCTGGGGTGCCGGTTGGCAGGGACAGACGAGGGCCCCCGTGAACCTCGGGCCGGCGGCGGCGGTCGCCGCAGGTAGCGGACACACCTGCGCGATCAGGCAGTCCGACCGCACCGTCCAGTGCTGGGGCGGTGGAGCGGTGGCGCTTGTGCTGTCCATCGAGAAGCAGAAGCACGAGGTGGGCATCGAGAAAAAGGCGGCGGAGAAAGCGAGAGAGCAGGCGGCGAAGCGAGAAGCGAAGGTGCAGAAGGAGAAGGAGTTGGTGCAGAAGGAGAAGGAGGCGGCGGAGAAGGCGAGGCTCGCCGCGCAGAAGAAGAAGGACCAGGTGGAGAAAGCGAGAGTGCAGGCGGTGAAGGAGAAAGAACAAGTGCAGAAGGAGAAGGAGAAGGTCCAGGAGGAGAAGGAGGCGGCCGAGGAGGCGAGGCTCGCCGCGCAGAAGAAGAAGGATCAGGCGGAGAAGGCGAGGCAGCAGGCGGTGAAGGAGAAGGAAGCTGCGGAGAAGGAAAAGCTCGCCGCGCAGCAGAGGAAGATCCAGGCGGAGAAACAGGAAAGGCAGGCGAAGAAAGAGAGAGAGGAGGCGAGGAGAGGTAAAGCCGTGGCGGTGATAGAAAAGTCCTGCTCCGCAGAGCTGACGAGGCAGGTCAAGGTCGAGATCTCATGCGCAGGGACAGCGGGCAACGCGACGTACGCCGTGCCCGTCCCAGACGGCGTGATGCTCTTCGGGTCCCCCGTGCAGGCGCACCGCTGCACGAATCGGGGGGCCTGCATCGCCGCGGGTGCCCAGAGCCGCCGCTGGGAGGGCAGCGAGATCGAGATCGGCGGGGCCGCGTGCCCGCTCGGCACAAGCGCGTCCAATATGTCATCGCCCATGTGCGGCAAAGGCGTCGTCGTCGTCGTCGTCGTCCGTCGTCGTCGTCGTCGTCGTCGTCGTCGTCGACGTCCGTCGTCGTCCGTCGTCGTCTGTCGTCGTCGTCGTCGTCGCCGCCGTCGTCCGTCGTCCGTCGTCCGTCGTCCGTCGTCCGTCGTCGTCGTCGTCGTCGTCGTCGTCGTCGTCGTCGTCGTCGTCCGTCGTCCGTCGTCCGTCGTCCGTCGTCCGTCGTCCGTCGTCCGTCGTCGTCGTCGTCGTCGTCGTCGTCCGTCGTCGTCGTCGTCGTCGTCGTCCGTCGTCGTCGCCGTCGTCGTCGTCGAGGCTATGACGACCAGAGCCCCGGCTGCAGCCGCTGCAGCGAAGGTTACGGGCGGGCGAGCTCGGACGCCTTCGTCTGCCAGGCGTGCGGCGCGACGGCCTTGCAGCTGGCGGGGTACATGATGATCCCGCTGGCCATCTACATCATATCGGTTCGCGGGGCCCTGGCCCGGGCCCGGACCCGCAGCGGCATCTTCAACGACCTGCTCAAGATATTCCTCTCCTTCGGCCAAGGGGCGACAGTGGTCATGAGCGCGGTAGTGACGAGCGACTCCTACCAGGCGCTCCCGGAGCTGCCGCAGAAGTTCTTGAGCTCGGGAGATTCATCCGTTGAGAGAGCGGCCCTCTATCCTAGAGGCTTGCGCCATACCGCCAGCCCCCAGCAGACGGGGTTCGCGGCAATGCCCGTGTATAGCGGCCCTCCCTGATGCCCCAGGTAGGGCAAATCGAGGAGCAGGCAGGAGGAGGAGGACCAGAGAGAACCCAGGATGCATCAGCGATGCTGCTATACACCCTCCCGTCCCATGTCCCCTCCTCACCAGTCCATACAAGCATTCGCTTTCACACCTTGACGCGTGCCTTTGAAAGACGGGCGCCCCATTGGCATGACAGGCGCCCCATGGGCCTGATTGGTCAAACCATAGCGCTTTCATCTCTGTCGCAGTTATATCTTCTGAAGGCGAGAGCCCCATTTTGAAAACCAGCCGCCCTCCACCAGTGTAACCGTTGGAAAGCTTTAAGACGAATGTCCGCGACGCCAAGGCGAGAGCCCCATTTTGAAAACCACCTGCCCTCCATCCGTGTAACTGTTGCAAAGCTTTAAGACGAATGACCGCGGCGCCAAGGCGAGAGCTCCGTTTTGGAAACCACTGGCTTTCCATCCGTGTAAGTGTTGCACAGCTTCATGACGAATGTCCGCGGCGCCGAGGCGAGAGCCCCATTTTGAACACCACCCGCCCTCCACCCGTGTAATTGTTGCAATTTTTTAAGACGAATGGCCGCGGCGCCAAGACGAGAGTCCCATGTATTGAAAACCATCTGCCCTTAGCTGTTGCGAACTTTTAAGACGGGTGTCCGCGGCGCCAAGGCGGGAGCCGATTTTTTGGAAATTCTTGACGCTTCGCGTATCCCAACCAGCCCATCCAGGAACAATGCCCAGGAGAGCTGACGGGAGAAGGGAGGAAGAGACGCACATAGTGAAACAGCGCGGGCAACACCGCTGAATTGGGAGATCTCTGGTATCGAAGGGTGCTGCTGCTGCTGGTGTTGTTGCTGCTGCTGGCACTGCTGCAGCACCAGCTGGTGTTGCTGGTTCTCGTGCTGCTGGTGCTGCTGGTGCTGCTGGTGCTGCTGGTGCTGCTGGTGCTGCTAGTGCTGCTGCTGGTGCTGCTGGTGGTGATGCTGCTGCTGGGCTGGTGCTGTTGCTGGTGCTATTGCCGCTGGTGGTGCTGTTGCTGCTGGTGGTGCTGCTGCTGGTGCCACTGCTGGTGGTGCTGCTGGTGCTGCTGATGGTGCTATTGCTGGTGATGGTGGTGCTGTTGCTGATGCTGCTGGCGCTGCCGGTGTTGCTGGCTCTCGTGCTGCTGGTGCTGCTGCTGGTGCTGTTGCTGGTGATTGTGGTGTTCCTGCTGCTCGTGCTGCTGCTGGTGTTTCTGCGAGTGCTGACGGTGATGGTGGAAGCAGGCAGTGTAGCAACCGCCTCGGAAGCGTTTTCTCGGAGGTCTCTTGGAGCCATCTTGGGGCTCTCTTGAGGGTTCTCTTGGGGCCCTCTTGGGGCCCTCCTGGGGCTCTTTTGGGGTCTTGGGGCCCTCTTGGGGCTCTTTTGGGGAGTCTGGGGGGCCTCTTCGGGCAATCTTGGAGGCCACGGCTCAAAAAGAGGGCGGTTCCAATTCGGCCCCCCCCCCTCGGAGGCTCAAAAAGGGCGTCTTGGGCCCTTCTTGGGCCGCTCTTGGAGCGCTCTTGGGCGCTCTTGGGGCCCTCTTGGGGCTCTCTTGGGCCTCTCTTGGGGCTCTCTTGGGCCATCTTGGGGCCATCTTGAGGCCTGAAGAGCCCATCGGAAGCGAAAAGGCGAGAAAGCAAAAAACATAGATTTTCCTTAGGTTTTGGAGCCATTTGGGCATCTTGGGGGGGTCCTTGGAGGGCTCGGAGGGCACTTGAAACCGTCTTGGGGCCGTCTTGAGGCCTCTTGGATGCATGTCGGAGGCTATCTCGAGCCATCTTGAGCTATCTTGGGCCATCTTGGAGGCAATCTTGGGCTCTCTGAGACCCTCTTGGAGCCATCTTGGGCCAAAAAGGACGCTCTGACACCTTCCCGCCCGCCCCGTCCAGGTCCAGGGGAGGGGGTAGGGGGAGGGGTAAACCCCTCCCCCGAGCAGGGGAAGGAGGAGGTTTTGGCAGAGAGAAGACCTAACTCGCTAAACCACCTCAACCCAGAGGGCTGGTGGGACTAATTCTAGACGCTTCGCGTATCCCCACCAGCCCGTCCAGAAATGAGCCCCAGGGGAGTGGAGGTGATGAGGGAAGCGGGGGAGCATGCAGAAGAACAAAGAGCGGGTTGAGCCGCCATACGCCCCAAGAGGGGGAGGATGTAGGAGGAGTCGTCGTCGTCGGAGTAGGAGGAGGAAGACGAGGAGCAGGAGGAGGAGCAGGAGGAGGAGGGGGAGGAGGAGGAGGAGGAGGAGGAGGAAGATGAGGAGGAGGAGATGGAGGAGGGCGAGGACGAGGAGGACGAGAAGGAGGAGGAGGAGGAGGAGAAGGAGGAGGCGGAGGAGGGGGAGGGGGAGGAGGGAGGAGGGAGAAAAAGAGGAGGAGGAGGAGGACAATGGCGAGCTTGGGGGCCTCTTGGGCCGTCTTTGGGGCCTCTTGGCGGTCCCGGAGGCCTCTTGCGTATCTCGGGGAGCTTCTTGTGGCCTTTTGGGAGTCTCTTGGAGGCCTCTTGGAGGCCTCTTGGGGGCCTCTTGGGGCCTCTTGGGGCTCTTGGGGCGCTCTTGGGGCGCTCTTGGGAGCTTTCGAGGCGCTCTTGGGGCCATCTTGGAGGAGATCTATCAAAGAAGGGGGGGTCCTCAATTAGCGCTGCCCCTCTAGAGTGCCTCGAATCGCTTCTTGGGCCCTTCTTGAGGCCAAAATCTTTCCAAAACCTAGGTAAAATCAATGTTTTGTGTTTTCTCGCCTTTTCGCTCTTGGAGCCGTCTTGGGCCGTCTTGGGAGCCTCTTGGGCCTCTTGGAGGTCTCTTGGGAGCCTTTTGGAGGCCTCTTGGGCGCCTCTTGGGGCCTCTTGGGGCGCTCTTGGGGCGCTCTTGGGGCGCTCTTGGGAGCCTTCGGGGCGCTCTTGGGGCCATCTTGGAGGAGATCGATCAAAGAAGAGGGGGTCCCCAATTAGCGTTGCCCCTCTAGAGTGCCTCGAGTCGCCTCTTGGGCCCCCCAAGAGGCCAAAATCCTTCCAAAACCTAGGAAAATCAATGTTTTTTGCTTTCTCGCCTTTTCGCTCTTGGAGCCGTCTTGGGCCATCTTGAACTCTCTTGGGGCCTCTTGGGGGTCTCTTGGCAGCCTCTTAGAGGCTTCTTGGGGGCCTCTTGGGGTCTCTTGGGGCCCTCTTGGGGCGCTCTTGGGGCGCTCTTGGGAGCCTTCGGGGCGCTCTTGGGGCCATCTTGGAGGAGATCTATCAAAGAAGGGGGGGGCTCCAATTAGGGCTGCCCCTCTAGAGTGCCTCGAAGCGCCTCTTGGGCCCCCCCAAGAGGCCAAAATCCTTCCAAAACCTAAGGAAAATCAATGTTTTGTGCTTTCTCGCTTTTTCGCTCTTGGAGCCGTCTTGAGCCATCTTGGGCGTCCCTGACACCTCGCGGGACGCCTCGTCCAGGTCAGTGGGGAGGGGTAAGGGGAGGGGTAAACCCCTCCCCGAAGGGAAAGAAGGGGGGTTGGCAGAGGAAACGCTCTAGACCACCTACGCCCTAAAGGGCTGGTGGGATTGCCCTCCATCCGTGTAGCTGTTGGAAAGTTTGAAGTCGAGTGTCCGCGGCCCCGAGGCGAGAGCCCCATCTTGAAAACCACGCGCCCTCCATCCGTGTAACTGTTGCAAACTTTTAAGACGAATGTCCGCGGCACCAGGGCGAGAGCCCCATTTTGAAAACGACCCGCCCTCCATCCGTGTAACTGTTGCAAACTTGTAAGCTTCAGGATCATGAATGGCGAGGAAGTCGCGGGCGAAACGCCCGGCCCGGCCTGAGCACACGCCCGGTGGTGCGACAGGGAGAAGTTATCTATGAGGAGAAGGGACGGAGGAGGTGGCCGGGGGGTAATCGATTCTGGGCCGTGGAGTACGAGGAGGGTTGCGAGGGGTAAGGGGGCTCATCCTCCTCCCCCGGTTCCTCCTCCCTCTATCTCCTCCTGGACGGGCCTCGAGCGGCTACCCGCGTCCTTCCAGCTCGGTGTTGCCGACGGATCGGCGGCGATCGGGGCGGCGATCGGCGGGCTTCCCTCGGCGAGCGCGGGCCCTTCGACGACGACGACGAGGAAGACCGCGAGGATGATGATGATGATGATGATGATGATGATGATGATGATGATGATGATGATGATGATGATGATGATGATGATGATGATGATGAGGAGGAGGAGGAGGAGGAGGAGGAGGAGAGGAGGAGGAGGAGGAGGAGGAGGAGCGCAGATACTTCGGGCAGGGCGCGCCCCCCACCAAGTGACTGTCTGGCGGGGCCACGGCCTCGGGCGCGCGTCTGCTCCGAGCGCCGGGCGCCGCGACGGCGATGGCGACGACCGCGACATCGACGGCAACGGCGGCGGCGATGACGACGACGGCAGTGACGGCGCGGGCGACGACGTCGACGGTCCGCTTGTTGGGGCGCCCTGGGGCAGTCATGCACGCCTCCTGGGTTCTAGGGTTCCTCTCTGGGCTCATCCGGGGCTGTCTCGGTGCCTCTTGAGGCTCTCAAGACGCCCCCTAGAAGGACACCTTGACGGATCTTCTCCGGGCTGTCTTGGGTCCCTTCGAGGCCAATCGGGACTGCGTTGGATTTCTCTTGTGGCGTTTTTGGGGCCGACTTGGGCCTCGCTTGGACCACCTTGGAGAAATCTGAACGATTCTGGGGTACATCTAAGGCAGCAGCGATGAGGAAGCCACAACCATGCAACTACACATTGCTTTGCCGACGTGTTGCCCTTTCCGGGGGCTCCCGGGCCGCCACATTGGAGACCATCTTGGGTTATCTCGTGATGCATTTGGCCGTTTATTGGGGGCTTTGAGCCTTGAGTGCCGGAAAAGTGCGTCGGCGGGCTCGCGTCTCCTCCCCTCCGACGAGGTGTTTTGGGCACCGTGGAAAGGGGCAAGCGGGGGGCGGTGACAGCCAAACGTCTCGCATGCCTGTCGACCTCTGGAAAGCAGTGACCAGCGGACTCTGGGAGCCTGGACTGCCTCACGAACTCGACGGTGGGAATCGACAGGTTCCTCTTGCTGGTTCTCCTACCTCCTGCTACCATTGTGCTGGCGTCGTTCCTCATCATTGCCGCTCAGCGGGCACAGCGTGCCTCCCACCGCCCGGCCAAGTTCTACATCACTCTGGTATCCCTGGTGGCGGGGAACCAATTCCTCGCGCAGATCGTCGGCGCTGCCTTTCGCACGTTGCCCTGCGCTCACACGCAGAAGGCCGAGGGGGCCGAGTCGCGCCAGTTTCTGACCTACGAGATTGCCATCGATTGCGAGAACCGTCCGGCCTCTTACCTCTTCGTGACGATAGGCACGTGCGCGTTTTCCCTGATCTGCGGCCCCATCCTCTGGTCGAAGGTTCTGCAGGAAGAAGGGGAAAAAGGGAAGACGAGAGCGCAAGACCCAGCGGGAGAAGAGGCAGAAGAAGAAGAAGAAGAAGCAAAAGGGGGACATGGGCAGGGGCACCATGATGGAGACGGCGCAGCAGGTTTCCTGACTGGTAACTACCGGGACGGCTGCAGGGCGTGGGAGGCCCTTGTGCTGCTCCGCAAGATAGCCTTGGCCGTCGCCAGCACGATGGCGCCGATGAGCTACTCGCCGGGCCTGCACATCATCCTGGCCCTTGGAATCCTGATGCTGTCTCTCGCGGCGCACCTCTACGCGAAGCCCTTCAAGAAGGAGAAGAACATGCTGAACAACGTGGAGGGCGCCTCGCTCACAGTCCTGAACGTGGCCCTGCTCCTCGCCATGTACATCACCACCGACATCTGGAGCGCCACGACCGCCTCCAAGCAGGTTGCGACGATGCTCGCGGGCAGCCTACTGATCGGCTGGTTCTGGGTGCTCATCGGCCTGCTGATCCAGGCGAAGCTGGCGGAGATGCGCGAGAGGAGTCCGATGGGGGGCCCCCGAAGCGGGCGCCAGCGAGCCGCGGGGGGCGGCGACGACCCGAGGCGGGCCCCCATTGCCCCGCCCCCCTCCCCTATCCCGGGGGGGGGGGCGGGAGGGGGAGGGGGGGGAGCGAGGGAGGGAGGGCGCAGGAAGGGGGAGGGAGGGCGCGAGGAGGAGAGAGGGAGGGGGGGGCCCGAGGACAGGGAGGAGAGGGAGGGTGTGGGGAGACGGAGGCGGGCGGGGGAGCGACGACGACGACGACGACGACGACGACGACGATCACGACGATGACGACGACGACGACGACGACGACGACGACGACGACGACGACGAGGACGACGACGACGAGGACGACGACGACGACGACGACGACGACGACGAGGACGACGACGACGAGGACGACGACGACGACGACGACGACGGCGGCGGCGGCGGCGACGACTTCGTCGACGTCGACGACGACGACGACGACGACGACGACGACGACGACGCGACGACGAGGCGACGACGACGAGGACGAGGACGACGACGACGACGACGCGACGACGACGAACGACGGACGACGACGACGAGGACGACGACGACGACGACGACGAGGACGACGGACTTCGTCGACGTCGACGACGACGACGACGACGACGACGACGACGACGACGACGACGACGACGACGACGACGACGACGACGACAACGACGACGACGACGACGAGGACGACGACGACGACGAGACGACGACGAACGACGACGACGACGACGACGACGAGGACGACGACGACGACGACGACGAACGACGACCGACGACGACGAGGACGACGACGACGACGACGAACGACGGAGGCGGCGGCGGTTCGTCGTCGACGACGACGACGACGACGACGACGACGACGACGACGACGACGACGACGACGACGACGACGACGACGACGACGACGACGACGACGACGACGACGACGACGACGACGACGACGACGACGACGACGACGACGACGACGACGGCGGCGGCGGCGACGACTTCGTCGACGTCGACGACGACGACGACGACGACGACGACGACGACGACGACGACGACGACGATGTCGACGGGGCCCCCGCTCGGGCGGAGGCCTCCCGCCCCCTCGCGCAGGAGCCCCGACGAGCAGCTGGCGGCGGAGGGCGCCCCGGCGCCGCAGCGGGCCTCGGCTTCTGCCTGCAGCAGCTGGCAGGAGGCGCCCCCCCCCCGACGACGATCGTCGTCGTCGTCCGTTCGTCGTCGTCGTCGTTCGTCGTCGTCGCGTCGTCGTCGTCGTCGTCGTCCGTCGTCGTCGTCGTCGTCGTCGTCGTCGTCGTCGTCGTCCGTCGTCGTCGTCGTCGTCGTCGTCGTCGTCGTCGTCGTCGTCGTCGTCGTCGTCGTCGTCGTCGTCGTCGTCGTCGCCCTTCCCGGCACCCTTCCGGAGGAGGTCAAAAAAGGCGACCCCGGGGCCCGTGCAGGGGTGCGCCTGGGGCCAGAGTCTCGAGGCGGATCCCACAAGAATAGCCCCCGAGCTCGGAGGCTCGAGCCTCCTCCCCCTCGCCCCTGCTGCCCCCCCCCTTTCTCGCCGCGCCAGTCCGCGGGGGCGGCGATCGGCGGGGCCCCCCCGGCGCCCCCCAAAAACTCCCCCCTCCTTCTCTCCGCCCCTCCGCCCCTCGTGCCTCCCCCCTCGCCGCCCTCCCCCCTGCTTCTCCCCCTGGCTCCCCTTGCGCCCAGGAGAGCCCTCGAACCTCGAAGTTCGAGCCTGCTCCTTGCCCCCTTCCCGCCGGGCCCTACCCGCATAGGGCCGGGGCGGCGATCGGCGGCCCCCCCCTCCCAGCGAGCGCGGGCCCTTCGACGACGACGACGACGATGACGGCGACGACGACGACGACGACGACGACGACGACGACGGCGACGACGACGTCGACGACGACGACGACGACGACGACGACGACGACGGCGGCGACGACGACGACGACGACGACGACGACGACGACGACGGGCCCCCTCGGTGAGCGCGGGCATTCTGGGCCGGCCGCGCGCCGCGCCCCGAGCAGGCGCCGCAGGGCGGCGCGGCGGCCGCGGCGGCGACGCACGCGGCGCAGGACGAGGGAGGCACCGCGCGAGGGGGGTGAGGAGGAGGAGGAGGAGGAGGAGGAGGAGGAGGAGAAGGAGGAGGGGGAGGGGGAGGAGGAGGAGGTGGAACACGACGGGCCGTGGCGCGCCCAGCGTGAGCGCAGGAGGAGGAGGGGGAGGAGGAGGAGGATGACCAGAGAGAACCCAGGATGCATCAGCGATGCTGCTATATACTCTCCCGTCCCATGTCCCTCCTCATGAGTCCATACAAGTATTCCCTTTCACACCTGGACGCGCGCCCTTGTAAGAAATGCGCCTCATTGCCCTGACTTGCGCCCAATGGGCCTGACATTGATGAGGATGTGTGCGCGTGCAGAAATCTACGACATATTTTCGATTTGGGTTGAACAAACCACTGCGCCTTCATATCCTTTGAACTCCTGAGATATACGAGTGCGCCCGGCGCCAAGGCGAGAACCCCATACTGAGAAAGATCAGCCCTTCATCCCTGTGATTGTTGCAAACTTGTATGACGAATGTCCGCGGCGCCAAGGCGAGAGCCCCATTTTGAAAACGACCTGCCCTCCATCCTTGTAAGTGTTGCACATTTTAAAGACGAATATCCGCGGCGCCAAGGCGAGAGCCCCATTTTGAAAAGGAGCCGCCCTCCATCCCTGTAACGTTCGCACATTTAAAGGACGAGTGTCCGCGGCGCCAAGGCGAGATCCCCACTTTGCAAAGGAACCGCCCTCCATCATTGTAACTGTCGCGAATTTTAGAGACGAATGTCCGCGGCGCCAAGGCGAGAGCACCATTTTGAAAACGGGCCGCCCTCCATCCGTGTAACTGTTGCAAACTTTTAGACGAATGTCCGCGGCGCCAAGGCGAGAGCCATATTTTGAAAACCGCCCGCCTTCCATCCGTGTAACTGTTGCAAACTTTAAGACGAATGTCCGCGGCGCCAATGTGAGAGCCCGATTTTGAAAACCACCCGCCCTCCATCCGTGTAATTGTTGCAACATTTCAAGATTCAGGAGCAGAAATGGCGAGGAAGTCTCAGGCGAAACGCCCGGCCCGCCCTAAACGCACGTCTGGTGGTGCGACAGGGAGGAGTTATTGAATCGTTTCGCTCATTCCGCTGGCCCGTACTGTGCCATCGCAGGCGTTTACCTGCGCGTTCGTGGCATCTTGGGGCCTCATGTGAGCCGTTTGGGGGCCTCTTTGGGGGCCTCTTGGGGGCCTCGTGGGGTCTCCAGGTGCCTCTTGGGCTCTCTTGGGGGCCTCTTTGGGCCTCTTGGGAGCCTCTTGGGGCGGAAGGCTCGAATTCTTGACGCTTCGCGAATCCCACCAGCTTCCGTGCGCGAATTTAGGCCGTTGCTGGTGTGCTTCGCTCCTGGACGCCGCCCGTCCTCTTTCGCCGCGGTCGCGATCAAAAGTATCCCCACCAGTCCCTGCTCGCCCGGCGTTCGACCCGTTTCGCGCGCCCGCGTACCAACAAGTATCCCCTACCAGCCTTCTCCTGGGTAAGCGTGGCGCACTCGGACTTCCTCCTCGTCATGGTCATCGTGCCAGTCTGTCAGTTTACGTCCTGTTGGACGCTGAGTCCACGTCTGAGTCGGGTTTTGCTCGGTCCAATTTTCTCTGTTGCTTCGGCGCGGCCCGCCCTAGCTTTGCCCGGTGTTCGACCTGCTTCGCGAGCCCGCGTACCAGAAGGTATCCCCACCAACCCATCCAGAAAGGATGCCCATGAGAGTTGACGGGGGGAGAGGAATAGGCACGCATAGTCAACAAGCGAGGGGAGGCCTGGGAGGCTGCATGGCCGCCTCGAACCGTTTTGGGGCGGGTGTCTTCGTGACACAAGAAAAAGATTGTCCTGGGGAGGGCTGCGGAATTCCAGGGCATCCCACGCCGCGAAGCATCCTGACGTCGGATGCCTGGGAGCGGGGCGCACGGCCTTCCTTCTCCAACCCCCACCTCCCCTCCCTCCATCCCTCCCTCCGCCACTCCCTGCCCTTCCTCTCTCCCTCCTTCGCCCTCTCCTTTCCCCCCCCCCTTTTGTCCTGCCTCCTTGATATCCCTCCTCCCTTCTCCTCCGCCTCCCCCGTCCTCCTCCACCCCATCCCTCTCTCCCTCCCAACTTCCCTCTTTACCATTGCACAATATGAACACCATTCGTCCCTCTCCTCCGACGACGGCGGTAAGGTGTCCTGGCCTCCTGCGCGTATGGTCTTTTACACCGGATGCCGCCGAACTGATATTTAATATGTGTTTGTGTTCCAACTCGAGCGTTTTCAGTCCTTTCAGAATGGCGCTCCCGCTACAGCGTGGGCTCCATTTTCCCGTTCTCGGTCCTTCCAACTCATGTTGACGCTGTAGCGCTGACCTCATTTCATTTCTTCGGATCTTCCAACTCGTGCTCCTGCTGCAGCGCTGGCTTCGTTTCCGCGCTTCCTTTCCTTCCGACTGGTGCTCCCACTGCAGCTCTGGTCTGACTTCCGCGGTTTCGGCCCTTCGAAATCGTGCTCCCGCTGAAGCGCTGGTCTCATTATGTGTTTCCCGCTTTCCAAACCGTCCATTTGTATTTCCCGTCCTGTGTAATGTATGGTTTCCTTCTGGCCTGGTTGTCGTAATGAGTCGCGTTCTCGATGCGATGTCATGCTATGCCGTGCTATACCATACATTGCGCACTCTCTCGGGACCACTGCACGTTTCGACATCCGACTGTGCAAATAGAGAGGAGATCTAAGCAAGGGTAGGGGATGGGAAAGAAGGGAAAAGCGTCAGAATGACGGTTGCGCTCCTAACTTGTCCCCCCTCCTCGTCGTTCCCGCCTCTCCCCCTCCTCGCCCCCCCCATGAGGTCACAACTCCATGAGCTGGGTTCAGATTCGGACTCCCCTCTTCCCTCCCCTCCCCTCCGCCCTCTTCTCCTCCCTCCCCTCCCTCCTTCCTCCTCGTCCTCCTCCTCTCCCACCTCCTCCTCCTCCTAACCCTTGATCCTCGTCCTCCTCCTCATTCCTCCTCCTCCTCCTCCTCCTCTTCCTCCTCCTCCTCCTCCTCCTCCTCCTCATCATCATCATCATCATCATCATCATCATCATCATCATCAACACCCCTCCTCCTCCTCCTCCTCCTCCTCCTCCTCCTCCTCCTCCTCCTCCTCCTCCTCCTCCTCCGCCCGCGAACATGGCGGAACCGACGGCTCTACGGTGGCTACCCGCAGCAAAGTGTCCCAGTCCCTTCCGCTGCCTCAAGCCAGCCTCCTTTTGAAGCCGGCCCGAGGAATCGGCCCAGGCAGGCGGGTGGCGCCAACGAGACACGACACGACGCACAGGCCACTTCCGCCACCGCCTGCCCGGGCTGGCGCTGTCTCGCCGGCGGCAGAGCAATGGGGGGGGAGGGAGGAGGAGAGGAGGGAGCAGGAAGGAACCGGGAGGCGAAGGCGGGTGCGCGGCCGTGGGGCCTGCGCCACCGCCACCCACCGTTGGGCGCCGGCACACCCGCCTAGGGAGGCAAGGAGCGGGGAAGCAGCGAGAAAGAGAGGGGAAGGAGGAAAGGAGAAGAGTGGCCAGGAGCCGGGCTAGGCCGCTGGGCAGTCACCGCCCTGTCCGCCGGCGTTGCCCCGTGTGCGCGCCGCACAGCGCGGGTGTGCGCGAGCAGGGCGGGCTCGTTTAAGCGATCACGACTACGGAGGAGGGAGGAGGGAAGGGGGCGAGGAGGACGCGGCGGCAGCGGAGGAGGGAAAGGAAGAAGAGGTTAACAAAGTAGAAGTAAAATTAGCGGCAGCCAGCAATGGTCATGCTGCCGGCGCGCACGTGCGCGCTAGCGACACGCCACGCCACAGCGGACTGCAGCGCGACGCTCAGCTCCTGCCAGCGCGCCGCGGCCAGGGCAGGCGCCCCGGCGTCGCCGCCCGCCATGACCGCGAGCATGCGGACGGCCGCCAGGGCGCTGTCTCCCGCCCGGCCGCCGATCTCGAACACGCAGGGCGTGATGCTGAGACCGGCGTACCGGCGTCGCTTCTCCCGCTCCTCCTGCGCCGCGGCCGCGCCGTCCCTGTTGGCGGCGGGGCGCACCCTGGCGGGGTCTTGGTGGGCGCCAACGACGGCAATGTCCAGCGCCACGCGCCTCCCGTCGAAGTTGAAGACGACGTCGAGGATGTCTCCTGGCAGGTCGTCTTCTAAGGCGTCCTCTAAGATCCCCGCTCGCAAGCCCTCAAGGCGCCGCTCCTTCATCGCTCTGGGGTCTACGTACGCGGTTGCGAAATTCAGCAGAATATCGCGGACCTCGTTGTGGCCTCCCCCTCCTCCTCCTCCTCCTCCTCCCCCTCCTCCTCCTCCTCCTCCTCCTCCTCCTCCTCCTCCTCCTCCTCCTCCTCCTCCTCCTCACCCCTCCTCCTCCTCCTCCTCCTCCTCCTTCTCCTCCTCCTCCTCCTCCTCCTCCTCCTCCTCCTCCTCCTCCTCCTCCTCCTCCTCCTCCTCCTCCTCCTCCCCCCCCTCCTCCCCCCCTCTCCCACCGAAAGGAGGTCAGCGCCCAGCAGGCCGTGGACCTCGGTTTGGCCCTCCAGTAGAGCAAGCAGGGCCGAAGGCGCCAGGGGCGTGGCCTCCGCCCTCGCGCACCGCACACTCGGCGTGAGTAGGCCGAGGGCCGAGGGGGGAGGGACGGAGGAGGGAGAAGGAGGGGGGGAGGAGGAGGAGGAGGAGGAGGAGGAGGAGGAGAGGAGGAGGAGGAGGAGGAGGAGGAGGAGGAGGAGGAGGAGGAGGAGGAGAGAGGAGAGGAGGAGGAGGAGGAGAGGAGGAGGAGGAGGAGGAGGAGGAGGAGGAGGGGAGAGGAGGAGGAGGAGGAGGAGGAGAGGAGGAGGAGGAGGGAGGAGGAGGAGGAGGGAGGAGGAGGAGGAGGAGGAGGAGGAGGAGGAGGGGTGAGGAGAGGAGGAGGAGGGAGGAGGAGGAGGAGTAGGAGGGTGAGGGGTGAGGAGGAGGAGGCGAGGATGAGGAGGAGAGGAGGAGAGGAGGAGGTTTGAGGGAGGATTTTGTGAGGAGGAGGAGTAGGAGGAGGAGGAGGAGGGAGGAGGAGGAGGAAGAGGAGGAGGAGGAGGAGGAGGAGGAGGAGGAGGAGGAGCAGGAGGGGTGAGGTGAAGGAGGGGGGGAGGAGGAGGAGGACGAGGAGGAGGCAGGAGGGCGGGAGCTACGATTGGGCAAAAAGCAAAGGCCCGATCAGTAGGATGCACCTCTCCCTTCAGCGCATAGGGTGGGAAGCCTACACCCCCCTGGACTGGCGCGATGATAACGGCGTGGAGATATCCCTGCTGTACTCCACCCCCTCCATGGTCGGGCACTGGCTTAGCCTTGGGGTCCAGAGGCACCACGAGCGAGTTTTGGGCAAGAAACTTGGGTGGACCCCTGGGACCAGAGTTTGTGTGGAACTTATCCGTCGCATCACCAAGTCGGGGGTTAAAGGTATTGGCCTCAACGCCCAGGGTAAATATTTAGTGATGGCGTGTTTCTGTGAAGGGCTCTGGACCGAAGACAGGGCTTTACGGTCGGGGTACATCACACCAGGTCTCTGCCCCTTATGTCAGGCGCCCGACTCGGTAGGTCACAGGATCTTCGCCTGCCAGCACGCGGAGGTCGTTGCGGCAAGGCAGGCCGCCGACGTCTCCACGGCCTTTCTCGAGCGTGCCCAGAGCGGGGACGCGCAGTTTTTCGAGGCCCTCAAGTTTCAGCACTCAGCGGCCGAGTGGCCGAATCTCTCGGAGGTGCACGAGCCAGAGCTCTTTGATATGAGTGGTCAAAAAGTGGAGTGGGATCAGTTTGATGGGTCCTCCTTCTTCCAGGCTGGAGACGGGTCTTGCGCTCGTCATGCAATCAGAGAGCTTTCGAGAGCGGCTTACTCGTGGGTGTTCTTCGATGCTGAGGGTGTGCAGCGGTATGTAGCAAAAGGAGTTGTATGGCCGAGTTTACCCCAAACCAGTCAAGCAGCAGAACAACTCCAGCTTGCCTTGCTTCCAATATATGTACCAAACCATGCACCGACGTTATACAGCGATTGTATGAATGCCGTCAAGCTGCACAACATGGAACCGTCATGTCAAGTTTCGGCCAAGCAACGTTATGGAGGGTTGAGAAGGGGGGCCCTGCTCCACATGCAGGATCAAGAGTATGTCCCAGCTGTTCACACCCCTGCCCACAGGAAGTTAGAAGACATCGAGCAGCTGCCCCCACCTGAGCGGTGGACCGGCCAGGCTAACTGGCGAGCGGATCGAAAGGCTAAAGGAGCCCTTGACCTGCATCCCAGACCCTCACCAGCCGACTGGCAGCAGCTGGACAGCTCGATCGAGAGTCTCGAAACGGTGGCCCGCCTCGTGGCGAATGTGTTGCCGTGTTTTCCGAGGGTGCACCACCAGCGCCCACCGCGGCGTGAGCGCCAGCGTAAGGTCATTGCGTGCGCCACGAGCTGGCATGACTGGGAGCCCTGGCTGTGGGGCCACAGGTGTGCTAAATGTTTAAGTTTTCATGGGGGTAACCTCCAAGATAGGCCAGAGGTTGGATGCATGGGACTCTCGAGGAGCCTCACCAGGTTGCTCTCCGAGGCCCCCGACCACGGCCACAAGTTAGCTAGTACGCAAGTAGGTGACGAGAAGCTGCCCCTAGTGTTCTGTATGCTGTGCGGTAGCTACACTCAAGAGAAAGTTCGTAATCTGGCAGTGAAATGTGATCCTAGGGAACACAGCGCAGGTGCCAGTGTGCTGAGCAGGCTCAAGCGTGGCCTTCATCCTCAGCGCAATGTGGCAGTTTCGTGTGCGGCTCCTGAACGTCCTGTGCCAGGAGCGGCAGTGCGTGCCTTTGCGACCGCTTCGCGGGTGCACCTCATCCCTCCGTGCACGTCTCACTTGGAATGTTTGGCCCCTCTGAGGGCTAGGATTGCCGAAAGAGAAACGGGGGTGCGGGTGGATTTTGAGAGCGGGGGGCGGGAAGGGCAACATGATGCTCCAGGTGTGCAGAGACCTGCACCTGGAGACGAAGTTTTTGGTGCTTTGTTTGAGGCGGAGCTAGCAACCGCTCGTGAATTCTTTGAGGTCAGGGTGCCTGTTGCTCCGCCTGAGGTTCCCGTGCAAGGCACCTCCGCTGCGTCTGACCCCCGTGCGGTGATGAGGAGTGTGTCCGACTTGCTGCGAAGCGAGGAGGATGAGGCTCCTCTGATCCCGAACCGCCCTGATGGCTCGGAGTCGGGGTCAGACTAACGCCTGGGGGACTGGCGGGCGGCCAAGGGACATCCTCCCTTTTTGGGAGATGAGTCCGTGGTCGCCTGCTGGTCCCTCGTCTGGTGTTAGGTTCAGAGCGGCTGCTTGGGTAGCCGCTTAGTAAAACTGGTCTGGCCGAAGGTGGCCAACAAACAAAAAAAAAAAAAGGCAGGAGGGCGGTTGTCATCACCGTTTCCCCCCCCCCCCCCCGCAATGCAGCGACAGCCAGAGGACCACAGCAGTCGAAATGCGAAATGGGCAGCCACATTCTTCCCCTATCCCCATCTCCATCCCCATCCAGACCCCCACCATCTCAGCACCCCAAGAACACGGCCTATATCCCCATCTGGGGGGGTAAATCTGCTTGGGCTGGACGGAGGGGCGTCGAAACTGACGGGGGTCCATGCAAACGGGGATCAGCCAGAACGCTGGACCTTGCAGGATCCTGCAGTGCCAGGGATGCACTGACCCGGGCTTCCACGCAGGATCTTGCAGGATCCTCCAGGAACCTTCAGGATCCTGCAAGCCTTGACTGACGCAGGTTTGCGTTGACCTGTGTCTCTGCGTTCTCGAGGGCGGAGGCGAGGAGGACGGTTCGGGGGTTGCGAACTTTCTAGGCATTTGGGACGCGATCGTCGGCTCTCGGCCGTTTTCCGGCCCCGGGGTGCTCTCCAGCAGTTGCGCCTCGCCTAGAGCGTTGTGGGGGTGCTCGGGTTGTCCCGATCGGCCGCGGACGGCTCGAGATATGACCCGAGAACTAAACGATGAAGATCTCCCGCGGGGGGCAGGGGCCGGAAGTGTTCTTGGCCCAAGGCGCGCCCGGGTTTTCGCTCCACTGGAGACCCCGGGGCCCTCCGGGACTTGTCAGGGGTGCTCTGGAGGCCGTGGAGACCTCCTTGGGAATCCTGGGGACGCTTGGGGCCTAGGCCTCCCAGATGGGGTCCGAGCACATGGGGTCGGAGGATCGCGCCGCATCGTCGATGCATCGCCGGTGCGGCTCGATGTGGAGCCCGATGTTCTCGACGCCGACGTCGCCGACGTGTCGCCGATGCATCGGCGATGCGGCGCGATCCTCGGACCCCATCTGCTCGGACCCCATCTAGGAGGCCTCCTTTCGGCCGGGATACTTCCTAGTAAGACTAGCGAAAGTAGTGGACATAGTCGTATTAGCAGTAGTGGTAGCAGTAGTAGTAGTAGTAGTAGTAGTATAGTAAGTATTAGTATTAGTAGTAGTAGTATAGTAAGTAGTAGTATAGAGTAAGTAGTATGAAGTAAGTAGCAGTACTACTACTACTACTCTACTACTACTACTACTACTATAACTTACTACGAATGCTCTACTACTACTCACTAACTACTCTCCTACTACTACTACTAAAAATACTACTACTACTACTCCTTCTAGCAGCAGCAGTAGTCGTAGTGGATAAGTAGGATTGTAGTAGTAGTAGTAGTATTCAGTAAGTAAGTAGTAATAGTAATTAGTAAGTAGTAGTAGTCGTAGTAGTAGTGAGTAGTGGTAGTGGTAGTGGTAGTGGTAAGTGGTAGTAGCTAGTGGTAGTGATCTAGTAGGAGCTATAGTAGTAGTAAGTAGTCAGTAGTAGTAAAGTAGTATAGTGTAAAAGTAGTAAGTCTTTAGTATAATTAGTAGTAGTAGTAGTAGGAGTAGTAGTAGTAGTAGCAGTAAGTAGCAGTAGTAGTAGTAGTAGTAGTAGTAGTAGTAGTAGTAGTAGTAGTAGTAGTAAGTAGTAAGTAGTAAGTAGTACGTAGTAAGTAGTAAGTAGTAAGTAGTAAGTAGTAGTAAGTAGTAGTAGTAGTAGTAGTAGTAGTAGTAGTAGTAGTAGTAGTAGTAGTAGTAGAGTAGTAGTAGTATTAGTAGTAGTAGTAGTAGTAGTAGTAGTAGTAGTAGTAGTAGTAGTAGTAGTAGTAGTAGTAGTAGTAGTAGTAGTAGTAGTACTAGTAGTACTCGTCGTAGAAGTAGGAGTAGTAGGAGTAGTAGTACTAATCGCATTAATAGCACTAGCCGCCGTACTCGTACTTGCAGTGGTAGAAGTAGTCGTCGTAATCGTAGTAGTAGTTGTAGTGGTACTCCTAGTAATAGTAATAGTAATAGTAGCAGTAGTAGTAGTAGTAGTAGTAGTAGTAGTAGTAGTAGTAGCAATTTTAGTATGTGCAGTGGCAATATGGCTA